TGCTGCTGCTGCTGCTGCTGCGTTTGGCAGCAAAGAGCTGGAGAGCAGCAGCAGCACTGGGAGGCAGCAGCAGCAGCGGCCACAGCTCTTCCCTCACAAGCCGCACTCTGCTGACGTCCCCAAGAGCAGCAGCAAAAAGAGACCCCCCCAGCAGCAAACAGGAGGCCCTGCTGCTGCTGCTGCGCCACAGCAGCAGCAGCAGCTGCTCCGCCTCCCGACACAGCAGCAGCACGCTGCCTGCTGCTGCTGCTGCCGACAGCAGCCGCAGACACAGCAGAAAAACAGCAGCAGCAAACGGAGGAGACGCAGAAAGAAACTGAGCTGCTTCTTGCTGCTGCCGCAGCACTCTCAGAATGGTGAGGCAATGTGCTGTGGGGGAAGTGTCTTCTGCTGCTGCTGCTGCTGCTGCTGCTGCCGCTGTGGCTGCTGCTGGCAGCGCCTCCGCCGAGACCCCCTTCGCCGCCCCTCCCGCTGCTGCTGCTGCGTGGACCTGCTGCTTCAGCAGCAGCCTTGCTGCTGCAGCAGCAGCAGCAGGCGGGGGCGTTGCATGCAAGGTGTAGGCGTGCTGCAGCAGCAGCCACGCAACCTTGGGGGCCCCCAAGTGCCGGGGGGCCCCCAGCAGCAGCGGCAGCAAGTGCTGCGCTATGAGGCTGCGGCAGCGCAGCAGCAGCTGCTGCGGGCTGGCCAAGAGGCAGCAAATGGCGCTGCAGCAGAAGCTGCTGTCGCCCTGCAGCAGCAGCTCCAGTAGCCGCAGCACCAGCCCCATGTCCTGCTGCTGCTGCTGCTGCTGCTGCTTGCCCCCAGGAAGAAGAGCAGCAAACAGCAGCGCCAGCTGCAGCGACTCCCGGTTTCGCTGCTGCAGTGCTGCGTGCTGCTGCAGCAGCGGCCACGCGTCTACCCAAGCTGCTGCGCTGAAGAGAGGAAGAGGGGACTCAGCAGCAGCTGCAACTGCTGCTGCTGCTGCTGCTGGTGCGCGTGCTGCTGCTGCTGCTGCTGCAGCAAACCCGCCGCAGGCCTCCGCCTGCTGCAGCGCCGCTGCGCTGCTGAGGCCATCGAGATAAGGCAAAGAGTACCTCCATCCACCTGCTGCCGGAGCTTCTGCTGCTGCTGCTGCTGCTGCTTCCTTTGCATGCATGTGCAGCAGCAGCAGCCCAGCAGCGCTGCGGTAGTGCAGCAGCAGCAGCGACTCTGCTGCTGGCCGGAGGTGGAGGGGCGGCGTTTGGTAGAGAGAGGGGCATGAGACGAAGACCGGAGGCGGCAGCTGCTGCTGCTGCTGCTGCTGCTTCGGATCCTCTATACACCCTCCAAACTGCAGCAGCCGCTCAAGCTGCTGCTGCTGCTGCTGCTGCATTCTTGCTGCTGCGGCCCTAACACCTCATCGGTGCCAGGTGGGAGGGCCGGCAGCAGCGCTCCTGAGACTTGGGGGCACCACATGGAAGGCGGGGTGGGGGGCCCTGGAGGCCGTTGCTGCTGCTGCTGCAGCTGCTGCAGCTGCTGCAGCTGCTGCAGCCGCTGCTGCTGCTGAGTTGGACTGCCGCAGCAGCCACGCGCCTCTCTTGCTGGTATACAAACAAATATATTCAAAAATGAAACAGCAGCACAAACAAAATCAAAGAAAACTATATTTGCTGCTGGAGCAGCTCTTTCAGGGGGAACGGGGCCCCCGGGGGGCCCCAGCAGCCCAGCAGCAGCAGCTGCTGCAGCGGGAGAAGGCGGAGCCAGAAATAAGCAATCGAAAAGGACATAAAGGGAATTAAATTAAATTAAATTAAATTTAGTTTAATTTAATTAATTTGATTTAATTTAATTTAATTCTTTGGCTGCCAGAGGCGACTGGCATTGCGGTGCTGCTCACCAGCACAACTCCAGCTTGGATTCATTGACCAGATCCTGCTGCTGCTGCTGCTGCTGCTCTTGCTGTTGCTGTTGCTGCCGCTGCTGCTGCTGCTTATGTTGCTCATGCTCCTCGTGATTCTGATGGTGACGGTACTTTTCATGCTGCTGGCTGCTGCTGCCGCTGCTGCTGCTGCTGCTGCTGCTCAACCTATGCTAGTGGTTGTACTGCCGCTGTTGCTGTCGTTGCTGCTGCTGCTGCTGCATATGACGTTACGGGATCTGCTGCTTCGGCAGTTTCCGCTTCTGGTATTGCTGCTGCTGTTGCCATTGCTGCTGCTGCTGCTGTTGCCTTTGCTATCTTTGTTGCTGCAGCCGTTACTGCTGCTGCTGCTGCAGCAGCCAGAAAAAGTAACAATTATGCGGCTGATCTACAAATCTGAAGCGTCGGAAACTGCAGCAGCTGCTGCAGCAGAAGCTGGGAGCCTCTGCAGCAGCAGCAACAGAAACAGCAGGAGTGAACAGCAACAAAGGCAGCAACGGCAAGCCCAGCAGCAGCAGCAGCAACGGGTGTAAAGTGCAGCTGCAAAGGGCCTGACAATGGCTAAATTGAGGTGTCTGTACACCGGAGGCTGCTGCTCCTGGACAGCAGCAGCAGCAGCAGATTCTACTTGCTGGACTTTTTTCATCTGATTCCTTTTGCTGAAGCTGCTTAAAATGGCTGCAGAAGGAGCAGCAAAATCAAGAGCAGCAGCAGCAGCAGCAACAACAGCAAGCCCAGAAGCTGCAGCAGCAGCTGCTGGGCTTGTTGATGCTGCTGCTCCCGCCGCTATTGATTCACAATTGAAGCAAGCAGCTACACTAGCCAAGTTGCTGCTGCTGCAGCACCTCTTAGACTTCGTAATTATGATTTAATGTTCTGGTTTTTCAACCCGCGGATTTAGGGTTTAGGGTTTAGGGTTTACCTTGGAGAAGCAACGGCAGAGGCGCCAGCTGCAGCAGCTCCCTGTGCCTGATCTGCAGCACAGCAGCTCGAGCAGCAGCAGCGGCAACGATTGCTGCAGCTGCATCTACTGCAGCAACAGCAGCAGCAGCATCCATGTCTGCGGTTGTAACTACAGGAGCCGTAGCTGCTGCTGCGCAAACACAAGCTGTGGCAACAGCAGCAGCAACAGCAGCAACCGTCACAGTAGCGGCAAACGCTGCAGCAGCAGCAGCAGCAGCCGTCCCAGTAATGTCAAACACTGCAACAGCAGCAGCAGCGGCAGCAGCAGGAACCGTCACAGTAGCGGCAAACGCTGCAGCAGCAGCAGCAGCAGCGCCAACCGTCACGGTAACGGCAAACGCTGCAGCAGCAGCAGCAGCAGCAGCAAGGCTAGTGTGGAAGTCCTCAGCCTTCAAGGCAGCAGCAAAGTCAAGGATGCCATAAGTTGGGGTGTACGTACACCTCGATGGGCAAACATCCATTTCATGTAGAAACCTTCCCCGCATGCAACTTCGGGAAATTTTAATCTTTTATTTTAATTTAAAAAAGTGTAAAAGATATTTATTTCAAAGGGTGGAAAAAGCATTTTATTGTTTTCAACTGTCTTCTCCTCAGGTGTATGTACACCTGCGCATGCGCAGGTGTTCATACACCTGACGAAATGTCCATTTTGGCATTTTGCCTTCATTTGCTCACAAAAGAATATCTTTTAAAAACAAAAAGTCCAATTAAAATACACTTGTGATAAATAATAAAAATGCACTTTTGCTTGCATGCGCTTTGCATCAAAGGAACGCATGCAAGCTGTCCGTACACCCCAATTATGCTGCACCTAGAATGCAGTGTCTTGCGGTGTACGTACAGCAGGCTTGCTGCTGAAGATTCTGCTGCATTCGCTGCTGCCAAAGTCCTGCAGCCTATAGCTAGCTGCAGCTAGCCACAGCTAGCCACAGCTAGCTACAGCGGGCAGCAGCAAAAGAAGCTGGCCACAGCTAGCTGCAGCTAGCCACAGCTAGCCACAGCTAGCTGCAGCTAGCCATAACTAGCTTCGGAGTAAGCTCCAGGTGCACCAGCCGCGGCTAGCCACGGCTAGCCACAGGCACTTGTGGCTAGCTCCAGGGAGTTGTGGCTGGCTGTGGCTAGCTGTGGCTAGCTGTGGCTAGCTGTGGCTAGCTGTGGCTAGCTGTGGCTAACTAGCTGCCTGTAGCTCACAGCGGCAGTGAACACTTGCAGTGCAGCTGCAGCAGTTAGCTAGCTAGCTAGCCAGCTAGCTAGCTAGCTAGCCAGATATTTAGCTAGCCAGCTAGCTAGCTTGCTAGCTAGCTGGCTAGCTGTCTGTAGCAGCCAAAGGGCAGGCCAGTGGCCTCCCCTGCAGGCTTAAAGGCCCCACTTGCGGAGCTCATTAGAAATACTAAATTAAAACAATTTAAATCTAATGAATAGACGAAAAGTGTTTGTCTTGGAGTAGTTTGAAACCCTAAACCCTAAACCCTAAACCCTAAACCCTCGAGCCGGGGGTGTCAGTGTCGGCGGTCCTGCGGAGGCCTCGGGGAGAAGCTGCGTCTCTCTCTGAATGAAGGCCTTTATTAGATTTGAATTAAAATAAACAAAATAAATGAATAAATAAGTAAATCAATAAAATAAATAATAAAACAAATAATTGAAATAGATGAAGTTGCTGCTGGAGCGCTGCAGCAAAACTCTGCGCGGCTGCATGCGCTGCAGCGGCGCTGCCGAATCTGCTGTTTGGAAAGGACGAATTTGTTGCATTTTTTTATTTTTTGGATTTTTTGGAATTTATTTTCAAAAAATAGAAAATAAATTCAAATTAACTCCATTTAACCCATTGCTGCCTGCTGCTGCTGCAGCAGCTGGACCCGGAGCTCAGCAGCAGCAGCCAGCCGCTGCTGCTGCTCCATTTCGCCTTTCCGCTTCCCAAACCCCAAACCCCTCCCAACCCTCCCCACAAAACTCATCCCACAACCACCAGCAGCAGCAGCAGCAGCAGCAGCAGCAGCAGCAGCAGCAGCAGCAGCAGCAGCAGCAGCGGCAGCATTACCACCCGACCAGCACCACCCGCACGAGCACCATCCCAGCACCACCAACAACCCCCCACCCCCCACCCCCCCCAGCAGCAGCAGCAGCAGCAGCAGCAGCAGCAGCAGCAGCA